GTCCGGCTTTTTGGGGATTTCCCCCCGGACGGGGATTTGAGTCCCAAAAAACCGGACATGTCCGGGAAAATCCGGACGTATGGTAACCCTACCCTTGGTAAATTGTTCTGGGGGTTAATTCCTCTCACTGTTAAAAATGTTGCACCTTATTTCCAGTCTGAATTTGTCTAGCTTCAACTTCCAGCCATGGGAGCACGTTAGACCTTTCTCTGCTAGATTGAAGAGCCCATTGTGACTGTCAGCAGCGTCCCCCACCTTAATAGCTAGCAGCCGTTATGGCAGCCAGCGGCCATTAGGGGGAAGCAGACACCTCAAGTACACAGTAACCTGAACTTTTCAACTGTCTTCCCTTTCAAGGCCTTGAGGTAGTTGGAGCTGGTCCCAAACTGGTTTTCACTGACCAGATAGCAGAAGCATGGGTCTGGCAACAACCAATCAAGTGTTAACACGGCAAGGGCCTTTGTCTGAATGTGTATAAAGGATCTGTAAAATGTGTGTAAGACAGAGTTTTTTGTACCAAGGTGCAAAGCTCTCCTTTCTTCTGCAGAATAAAGCAACCTTTCCTTATCCCTGTGTGGCTGTTATTGGCTCTCAGCTAGGCGGACCCGATATTTCGGTGACAGTTTCTGGCGACTCCGCCGGGACTCTCCTAGCTCAGACATTGGACTCCGGATGGCTGCGGCGAACTGAAAACGGCGCCAACGGGGTGCTTAGCCCCTTTTCCTCATTTCACCGCAGCCCCTGGGATTCGTGCTCCGATAAGGTGAGTCCTAATAAAATAAGAAGACACTATCTCGTTCTGGTCTGGTTAACTGGTTAATAAATTTCTGTCTTATACATTTGGGCGTTAGGTGTGTAAACGAAACTGAGCCTTTCATTCATAATTCCTCAGAGGAAAAGCCATTGCGTGCAATAAAGCTCTGAGGTCGAATTGGGATCCTTCTGTCCCGTCCCCTGTAGCGGTCAGTATTAGTAAAAATTCCTGTAATAAAATCCTATTAGGCCATAATTCCCTCTGATCTCTCTGTAATTCTCTGTTAAAGTATCAGCAGGCAAATGGGTGGGTCTCTGATAAAACCCTCTAAGGATAGCCCTTTGAATTATATGTTAAGTAAATGGCCTTTACCCGGTGTTTAAAAGTATTCTGGTAATGGGTATAGGTGGAAAGCCATTTGACTGTTCTGTGTTACAAAAAGCTACTGTAAAAATCTCTGAAGTCTCCACCTCCCATGCCTTTCTGCTAGCTCCTGATTCCCCAGTTAATCTCTTGGGCAAAGACCTGTTGTGTAAATTGCGTGCTCAAATTTTCTTTTCAAATAACAAAATCGTCCTCCGGTTACCTCAAAACCAACTTCCCCAGCTATGTGCTGTATTAACCCAGAATTCAAAAAACTCGATCCTGCCTGCGGGCCTGATCCTACCCGAGCAAGTCAGACAGAAGGTACAAGCCTCCCTATGGGGCACTTCAAAAGCGAACTTGGGCACTCTCCGGACAGAGACGGTACGAATACCCCTGAGGCCAGGCATTAACATTCCTCAAATTCGTCAGTATCCCATCCCCCTGAAAAGCTCTGTTTGGCCTCTGAAGTCTTATCACCACATTCCTGCGGTTGGAAGTGCTGGTTCACACCAAGTTTCCTTTCAATACTCCCATTCTGCCAGTCAAAAAACCTGACAAACTAAAAAAAAAAACCCTGGAATACCGATTTGTCCAGAACTTACGTGCAGTAAATAAGGTTGTTCAAGCTAAAGACAATGTGGTACCTAACCCCCACACAATCCTGACTGCCATTCCAGCAGGTACTGCTTGTTATTCGGTAATAAACTTATGTAATGCTTTTTTTTAATATTCCTCTAAATAAAAACAGCTAAAATATCTTTGCATTTACATAAACGGACCCAAAAACTAAAAAAGCAAAACAACGAACCTGGACTCGGCTACTGCAAAAATATGTAACATGCAAAATGGACACTATTCCCTTGTTAAATTGTCTTCAAGTAATGCATCATCAAAAAAAACCTCAACCAGATCTTTCAGATGTGCCCATTCCAAATGCTAAACTGGAGCTGTATACAAATGGCTCGGCACGGGTCGTGGAGGGCCAGCGGGTATCTGGGTTTGCAGTAGCTAAGTTTAATGGATTACAGTCTGCTCCCCTGGAACCTTCCACCTCAGCCCAGGGGGCAGAATTAATAGCCCTCACCCAAGCATGTAAACTGGCAGCAGGTCAGTCTGTAAATATATATACTGACTCAAAATTTGCCTTTGGCGTTTGCCATGCCACAGGCCAGCTCTGGGCAAAGTGTGGGTTTATTACCTCCAGTGGCACTAAAATAGCACATGGGCCCTTAATCCTAAAATTATTAAAAGCCATACACCTGCCATCCGAAATTGCCATCATCCATGTTCGGGCCCATCAGAAGGGAAACAATCCCACCATCTGTGGGAACCGGCTGGCTGATTCAGCTTTAAAAGCAGCCTCCCTACAGCCTTATATTACCAACCAGATGGTTCTCACATCCTCCACCCCGCCAACTCCAGTCCCAGCCCCTTTTACCCCTAAGCCATTAAAGGTCAAGTGTTGAAAAAGCATGGGGGCCGCCAAAATGCCAAAAGGGAAATGGCAACTACCTAATGGAAAAAAAGCCCTGCCCCGAGATGCTCTGCGACCTGCCCTATTTAAGCTACACAAAAAAACCACATGGTAAAGCAAAAGCCATAGCAGCTACTGTAAATAAACTTTAATATGCCCCTAAAGTATTCCAGAAAGCAAACAAGTCCTTGCTACTTGTGACATCTGTGCAAAATTCAATCCAAGGGGGGAACCTAAAGGCCCCCCCGAAGCCAGGTTATGGGCATACACACCCTTCAAGCAACTTCAAATTAACTACTCAAAAATGCCTAAGTACCAAGGCTACAAGTACCTTCTTGTAATTGTATGCCAACTAACTGGATGGACCAAAGCATTCCCAACTAAACAAGCAACTGCCTTAAATGTAAAAAAAAACCTTATTAAACCATGTCATCCCTAGGTTTGGCCCTCCTAGGTCTATTAACTCTAATCAAGGAACTCATTTCACCGCCCAGGTTATTCAACACATTGTTAAGGCCCTAGGTATTACCTGGCTTCTACATACCCCTTGGAGACCACCATCTTCTGGACAAGTAAAAAAAATAAACCAAACTTTAAAGCTTAAGCTCTCCAAATTGTGTGCACAGACTGGGTTAAAGTGGCTTCAGGCTCTACCTTCGGCCCTCTTGGCAGTTCGAACTGCCCTTAGGGGCCGGCTCCGTGTCTCACCCTTTAAACTTTTATTTAGCAGGCCATACACTGGATTTGCTGATCCAGGATCTGTAACCGACTTAGCCACTTGGGGTGACGAGGAGCTAACCAGATATGTTGTTTCCCTCCAAACCACTCTCAAATCTCTCCACAGGTATGCAGTTCAGTTTCAGTCCCTACCTGCTGATGTACCTGCTCACCGAATCAAGCCAAAAAACTGGGTCTATATAAAAAAGTCAAAACATGAGCCTCTCCAACCCCGGTGGGCGGGCCCCTTCCAAGTCCTTCTTACCTCTCACACTGCCATTCAAGTAAAAAAGCAAAACACTTAAATACACCACACCCGAGTCAAGCTAGCCCTTAGAACGGGGCCAGAAGCAGACAACTTCGAACCTCAAGGAAGCACCGCCAGCTCTTCCCACCGCGACCCGGAAAAGCCAGAAGCAGACAATACCTGGAAAGCTGAACCTCTCAAAAAACTAAAGCTTCTGTTCCGGCAAACAAAGTCCTAAGACTTTATAACTATGGGTTCTCAGACGGTGCTGCAGTGGCTATTACTTTTGGATCTGCCCCTTGTACAAGCTAACCCACACCCAGCCGCTAAACCTCTTCAGCGAATGGCTACCTTGGGACACTTGTCTAATTGTTAGGGGGGGCTTGTGCTCGCATCGAAAAAAAATGTTGTTTCTATGTTAATCATTCCGGCTTAATTAAGCAGAATTTACAAGCCATTAAAAATGCTGCTGTTATTTTCCATGCTGTATCTCTTAATCACACCTTTAGTTTTAAGGACCTCCTCCCAGACCTTGGGTCATGGTTCACGGGGCTCTTCTGAAAAATTATCAAGTAAATTTTTTTTTCTTTCTATGTGTTATTTAAGTAATGTTTCAATATGCAAAATGTTTATGTAGTGCTGTTACTAAGGGCTCTGCCGCCCATAAAAAAAACACAGTATCTTTCCCTCCAGCTTAATCGCAAATTGCGTAACGGGCCTGACAATTTGGGTTTGTCAGGCCCGAAGGGGGGACTGTGACAGTCAGCAGCAACCCCCCCCCTTAATAGCTAACAGCCGTTATGGCAGCCAGCGGCCATTAGGGGGAAGCAGACACCTCAAATACACAGTAGCCTGAACTTTTCAACTGTCTTCCCTTTCAAGGCCTTAAGGTAGTTGGAGCTGGTCCCAAACTGGTTTTCACTGACCAGATAGCCAGGGCCAGCTCTAACTTTTTTGCTGCCCCAAGCAGCAAAAAAAAGTGCCGCCCCGCCGAGCCCCCCCCCACCCTGCCGAGCGGCGCGCCGCTGGAACCCCCCCCTAGAGCGCCGCGCCCCCGCCAAGCGCCGCGCCACCGGAAACACCCCCCCCCCGAGCGCTGCGCGCCGCACCGTCAGAGCGCCCCCCGCCGAGCGCCGCACCGTCGGAGCGCCCCCCCGCCCGTGGAATGCCGCGCCGCTCTGCCCCCCCGCCACCCCAACATTGGCCGCCCCTTACCAGGTGCCGCCCCAAGCATGTGCTTGGTTGCCTGGTGCCTGGAGCCGGCCCTGCAGATAGCAGAAGCATGGGTCTGGCAACCACCAATCAAGTGTTAACACGGCAAGGGCCTTTGTGGGAATGTGTATAAAAAAAATCTGTAAAATGCGTGTAAAACAAAGTTTTTTGTACCAAGGTGCAAATCTCTCCTTTCTTCTGCAAAATAAAGCAACCTTTCCTTATCCCTGTCCGGCTGTTATTGGCTCTCAGCTAGGCGGACCCAATATTTCGGTAACACCATCATGAAATATTTGTTCCTTATCACTATCAGGCAGGTTTTCTAATCTTCTAATCATTCTCATGCCTCTTCTCTGACCCTTCTCCAATGTATCAACATCCTTCATGAAGTGTGGGCACCAGAACTGGACACAGGATTCCAGCAGCACTTGCACCACTGGCAAATACAGAGGAAGTAGGCCCTCTTTACTCCTACTCGAGTTTCCCTCACTCATGCATCCAAGGGGTTGGCCGCAGCATTGCACTGGGAGCTCCTGGGCCCAAGCAGTTCTCGGTCTCTCTATCGAGTCTATCAATGAGTGCAGGGTGGCCTGGTAAGCTTGTGCCATGGGAGCCAGAGCTGAGACCCACCAAACTCATGTCATACAAGAAAGACCCAACAGCCAATTGGTGAATCCCTAATGCACAGCGTAGCCAACTCCCCCTATGCACAGCTCTCCTCCCTTCTGCCCTCTCCATCCCTGCAAGCCCAGGCCTGGGAGGAAGAATCCCCTTAGAGCGGCCCCCACCAACCCTGAGACATAGTAAAGACCCTGCAGAGCTGTAGGAGGAGCAGATATGGGGCACAGTGGGTGCAGAATTATGGGGCAGGTGGGTGGGGCTGGGGGGTAAAGGGGAAAGACAGGGACTGAGATGGTTCTAGGAGGGTGGGAGAAGCTGAGCTGGCCTCCCCCATTCTTCCCTTTTCAGACCCCATCTCCCAGTCTGTCCCCTCTTCCCAGTCCATCCCCCTCACTCTCAGCCACCCCAAAGTCGGCCCCCCTCCATTCCCTGATGGGTCCAGGCCTCACAGACAAAAGGGACGTGACATTGAAGCAGGAGGAAGCATCTGTGGTTTTACAGCAGGTTTGCGCAATTGCAAACACTGCATCCACCTCACACCTGCCAGACCCTCCCCCCACATCCTACCGAGCACACAACCCACAGAGAAGGGGAGTCGCACTGTGACCCACTCCCATCCCAGAGAGTCTGGGGGAACAGAACACAGAGGGAACTGAACCCAGGAGTCCTGATTATCAGCCCCCCACCCAGACCGGCTCCAGGCACCAGCTGACCAAGCACATGCTTGGGGCGGCACCTGGTAAGGGGCGCCCAATCTTGGGGTGGCAGGGGGGCGCTCAGGGTTTTTTTGGTTTTTTTTTTTTTGGTTCGGTCAGGCGGTGCTGGGGGTGTGGTGAGTTGTTTTAGTTTCGGCGGCGGGGCACCCGGCCGCGCGGCGCTCAGCGGGGTGTGTGTGGCGATGGGGCGCTCCGCAGGGGGGGGTTTGTCAGCATGGCGCT